ATGATAACAGTTTTTATTTTTAAAATGAAAACAGTTTGTGCACGTATGTATAGCTTTTTCAATGTTTTTGTCAACTGATTCTCTTAATAATTTAAATCGTTCTTATGATTAATGTCATAATATCTTTGACTTGTATAAAATGTATAAAAGTGTCTGCTTATTCAAAAATGAAAATGTCAAATATTTTGTCTAAATTTGACAATTGCATTTGAATCAAGCCTACATACCTGGCATACTCTTCCAATTCAGGTACAGAAAAAATAACAACTGGTGTATGTTTGGGCAAAACTACGTTTGTTCAAATAGTGCTTGAAAGCGGAGTTTTTTAAACCTGTTTGAGAACAAACATTATTTCTGTAATTTTGTTCAGCGTCGCAAGTGGTGTAGAAACAACACCCTTCATCTTTACCGGTGTTTGATTAATTTCCAAAGTTAAGCAACTGGCTCTTGTGAAGCATTCTCTGCTAGTCAACAATGCGGTGACGAAGAAATGAAGGCAAAAAGTGAACAGAAGTGGTTTCCAGAAGAAGTAGCAGCGAATGCGAGAGGATGTCTGAAGACAGATAATGAATGAGACTGGAGATTTTTCCTGTCCTCTCGTTTGGGTTTAGTCGCTGTGGAAATTCATTAGGAATGCAGTCACACTCTCAAGTGAATGACCATATCAGCTTACCAAATGCAAATACCTCAAAATCTGCAGAGAAGGGAAAGGATTATGTGGTTGGTCTATTAACCTCCCAAAGAGATAACTGACATCTTATCTCCCCAAAATGGCAGGAAGAGCTTGACTACCATCAACCTGAGTTTGACACACACTTTTCACAATAATTAATAGGATCAGATGAAATTTTAAATAGGCCTCCGGGTTTCTATTATGGCTCCCCAGGGCTGAGAGAAACGCATGAAGTGTTTGCTGTTGTAGAGGGATGGAGTGCTCTCTCTATCTCTCTGTCCTCATTGAGGAATATCTGTGTCAGTGCCACCAATCGAACAAAAAAAGAAAAGGAAAAAAAAGTTGAATGCCTTTTCTCACACACTCTATTGTGCGGACTTATGTGAGGGCAAGGTCAAAGGGGGCATGATGTCATAGTTACCCAGAGGGCATTTCAGTTGTCATTGCACTGGTCAACTGACACCAATCGATGAGCGCAGGGCTGAGTAGTTTGGGCCTCAGGGTCAGAAATAGAGATGGACAATACTGAAATACTATCTTGGAATTGTCTTCATGCAGCTGCATTACTAGCTATTTGTATGGACGTTTAAACAGCTGCGGTGATCAGACATTGGTCATGTTCTTGAAGTGTTATGACCAAAAATAAATAGGTTAGCGGATATAATTATTTGAAATAAATGCTGTCATTTTACATTAGGTTTAAGTTTAATCACCAAATGCACACAGCTATTTTTATGCAATGTAAGGAATGCCGGGGCCACACAATCAATTTGTAGGTCAACATGAAGGAATTAAGGTAACTTATTAGTTTTATAAATACAAGTAGATTAAATATTCAATTCAGTTCATTTTTATTTCTATAGCGCTTTTACAATGTAGATTGTGTCAAAGCAGCTTAACATAGAAGTTCTAGTAAAATGAAACAGTGTCAGTCCAGTTTTCAGAGTTGAACTTCGGTTTATTTCAGTTCATTGTGGTTTAACTTTCACTGCAAAAAGTCCAAACACTGAAGAGCAAATCCATCGATGCTTGGTCCTAAACCAAGCAAGCCAGTGGTGACAGTAGCGAGGAACAAACTTCACCAGTTGACCAAAGTGAAGGAAAAAACCCTCGAGAGAACCAGGCTCAGTTGGGCACAACCTTTTTTCCTCTGACCAAACTTCTTGTGCAGAGTTGCAGTGTAGGCACTGGAGAATGCTGCACTGTAAATTCTAACATGTTCAGTTTACTTAAAAAAAGTTTGGAAACCGATTGCCTTATTTTTGCAATATAAACTTACAAGGAAATCTTAAGTTAAGTTTAATTATTGACTTGAAGTAAGAAAACTAAAACTTATAAAGTAAACTAACTGTTAAAAATTAAGTAAGTTTAATAGAAAATTCTAGTTAACATACTTGTCATTATTTAGTAATCTTACTTAGGGTTTTATAGTAAGATTACTTTAATAACTCTATTTAACTAATACTGTTCTACCATGTTCAGTTAACATCTTGAATGCTAGTAGTCTCAACATTGTTTTAATCCACCATTTTAAGTAATGTCAACTAAAGAAACTACGTGCAATCGGTTTCCACATTTTCTTCAATTAAACTGAACATAAAATATGTAGTTCAACCTACAAGTAATGACATTATACAGGTCTTAAATGTAAACATTTTATTTGACAAAATTAGCAGAATTTCACAATACACTTGTGATATTTTAGTATCACAATACACTTGTACACAATACAGTTTTGTAAAAACCTGTTGTAAAGTGCTGTAATATACTGTAAACAGCAATACAGACAAAAAATATAATAAACATGTTCAACCCTAAAACACAAGTTTTCAAAAAGGTTTGAAAATCTATCAAAAAAACTTTAAATACTTGACACTTGGAAAAAAGATACTTGAATTAGTGTAATTAAACATGCCATTGCACCAGCACCTTAAACATGGCAGCATATAGACACTCACAGAGGAACAGATATTAAGCTTTAAAGCTAATTTGTTAGACTGTGTAGTTTAGATTTTCCTACAGAAAATATCACATTAGTGTGGTCAAAAGTATTGAGTTTGGTATCAATCAATACTGAAATATTAAAAATATCCATTTTCCACCAGCATTTGAGTGCTACTGAGCTCGTTCTTAAACACCATTGATTGGCCACTGTGTTCACATGCTCAACAGAAATGACTGTGATTGGCTGTGACTGTCATAGGTTTACCATTTTCAAACAAAGTTACACAGACACTGAAGTGTTTCAAAGCCATGTCGATAGCTGATTTGTTTAGAAGCTAACATATAAGCTATCTGGTGATGAATCGACTGATCGACAGTGCTTTGAAGTTATCCAGTGTCTTTGTATCTTTGCACCTGGTGAACAGTGGTGAAGTGTGGTAAAAATAATGACCTTCAAAGCCAATCAGTCATATCTACTGAGCATGTGAACACAATGGCCAATCAGTTCTTGCAATGTTAGTGGGAAATGGATGGACTTGTTTTTTATTTATTTCAGTACCGATTGGTACCAAACTCAATACTTTTGACAACCCTATAAATCACAATACACTTTTTTGGTAAAAAAAAAAAAAGTGTTTTAAACACCAAAATGCTGCAGTCCTAAATGTAACACTGCAAACAGCAACATGTTAAAAAGCAACACTTTGTAATTAAACATGCCATTATACCTGAACCTTTAAACATAAAGCACAGCAGTATATAGGCACTCGCCGAATAAAACACATTACGCTTCCCTCCCAGCAAAAGCAACACATGTTGAACAAATTCAAATGCATTGCTCAAAGTCTTTGGGTAGTCCGAATTCAGTGTGTAAATCAAAGCAAAAAAAGAGACATACTGCATGTGGCAAAGTCCATAACCACTTTTCCTTCCAGTATAAAGGCCCACATTGCATCCATAATGAGGTTCTTTAGACATCTTCACACACGACAGTCAGCAGGCCAACATCTTCTGCACTGAAGTCCGACTCTACAATTACATCCTATGAATAGAGAAAGAAAAATAAGTAAAGTTTGATATTCAAAATGGCACTAATAAAGCCTGTAGTGGCCAGGAGACCAAAAGCAGAGGTGAAAAAAATACAATTCCTTGTGCTTAATTTAGTAACACTTTAGTAGGAACCAATTACCCTATTAACTAGTTGCTTATTAGCATGACTATTTGTGTTTATAGTACATTTTACATTCAAATGCTTCTTATAAGAAGGCCTTGCTATGGTGCTCCTTCTTCAATGTAGACCAACACGATGGATTTGCCTGTACTGCTTCTACTAGGCTTGTCATGATAGTGGAATTTATTACCAATCCATATTGTAATTTTAAAAACATCCATTTCCTGCTAACATTTGAGCATTGTTGAGTGTCATTTCTGTTAAGCATGTGAACAGAATGGCAAAACAGTGCTGTTTAAAAATGTGCTCAAAAGTGCTTAAAATGTTAGCAGGAAATTTGCTGCTTAAAATTGCAGCAGAGATTGGTACTAAATTCCAGTATCTTGAACATGATACTATTCTAAAGGAACAATACATTTTTTTTAAATTAAAGAAACACTGTAATGTAATAAAACAAACTGCAGTAAAAGTACTTTTAAAACATTTTAAAGAAATTAAATGCAAATGTGTGAGAGACCAATTGGTGCTACATAATCAATATAAATATTTTGTAGGGAAAACTTAATAAATTGGGAACCGATTCATGAATGCATTTGGTTTTGCTAGATTAAAGCAGTGAGTCAAGTTTGCATTATTTAGCACACTTTTTAAAAATGTATTAATAACTATTTTTTAATAAGAAAATTGATGTTTTAGTATGGCTTTTAGAACAAGGGTGCAGCCATCTACAATCCCACAGCAGGTGACTTCACAGGGTTGGTTATAATACGGAGCATCTTTGACTTTGTGGCTTTTAACACTATCTTTTTACATCTTAATCCAGCAGGTTCTTTCAACTGAAATTATATTTCTCTCAACATATTACATAGGTATTACACTTATTAAGATTTTTTTTTCAAGCTAATCTTCCTCCTTTTCAAAACAAGTGTGTTTAAAAATTAAAGAAATGCATTCATTACTTCACTGGCCTATGAAGCTAACTGACCCTGTGACGGCACAAGCTGCTGTATTTGCAACATAGCAATGCTCTTGCTCCAAAGGCCATAATATAACATCCCTCTTACTTTCAAATACTTACATTAAATGCATTTGTTTTATTTTTATAAAATTGAAATTTTTTATTAATAAGTGAAGTAAACTGGAATGACTGCTTCATTTCCAGTCTAAGAAAGCAGAAACAATAATACTACTTACAAAACACATCCTGAAAATTTCTTTAGACTCATCCCTCTAAAGGACTGAAAGACCCCGGAGAACTGCTGCCAGATGACCTTGAAAAAGTAAAGACAGGTAGACATGCATTATAGCCCAATGTAAACATCGAATGCAATTTATTGCAATCAAATGCAAATTATGATTCAAAGATGATGTCACAAAAATACCTTTGAATTAACATGTTGAAAATTTCTTCTAGTTTTCTTCTGCAATTTTCTCCTGTTTTTTTTTTTTATTTCAATCAAACGAGCAGTGTGTGTCCAATGCCGCGTTGGCAGAACTTGGATCTCACATTTCTTCCTGATATTCGATTGAATTCTGCAAAGATCCAATCAAAACATTATTAGTCATTAATAACATTCAAAAACACAAATTCACAAAATCAAACAAAGTTTTGAAAAGAAAACAAACCTTCTGCAGCACTTGCATCAGCTGGTGTTTCCTCTATGACTTCCTTCTGGATGTCACTGTTGTGCACAAAAACGTAAAGTGTTATTGACATGGCTAAGCGATATTCTAAAACAAAAAACAGAAATCAGAAACACATGCAATGATACAATGCAATGCCATTTAGCAACAGATGTTACACTTTAACATGACATAGTTAAATGTTCTTGAATAATAAAAGCTGCCAAATACTCCCGGCGCCTGTCATCAAAAGCATGAGCTATACTTGTCACCAAACAGTAATAAACACAACCCCCGATTAAATATAATCATGGCATTGTTGCTGGTGTGCCTTACTTTTATGCGCATTAAAAGTGGAATAAATATTTGTCTCAATTGATGTCTTTAAAAGGACACTGAACTTTCTGACTAGGGTTGCACGGTTTACCGGTACTATGGTAGTATCGTGATACTATGGCTCCAAGATACTGGCGGTGCCACTGTAGTTTGTAAACGGTAGTATTGTCATTAACAGTCTGCCTACAATACATAATGCTGCATGTGAAAAAGTCACTAAAATACTTACACGATTCAGCAACAATAGATCATTGTATTTTAATAGTCTATGGAGCCTTCTAAGGTTGTAAAACTGTAGAATTTGCACCTTTTATAGTAGCCTATTGCATATTTTGTGATGGTTCATTTTGAATCGGAATTCGTTTATTTCTGTTCCTGTCAATATGATATAATAGCTACAACAACCGTGACAATCTATTAAAAAGAATGACTCATGAAGTGAAATTTTGAATTACTTTGGATTCTTATCCAATAATAAGTGTGAAAAAAGTATGATAGATGAAAAACCCAAAATAGCAACAGGAAACAATTTTTGACCACTTCATATAGCCTAGGTTTGTTGGAAAAATGCTCTTTTCTTTATGTATCTTTATTTTAATGTATTTTTTTTTGCTGGAATGAATACATTTTAGGTGAAGAGATGTGCAAATACTTTTTTCAACAATAAGGGAATTATTTAAATTCAAGTAGGCCTATAATAACATATACAATATATTATTTCTGACATTTTTCTTTATTTCATGGATTTAAGTTATGAATTACAGTATTGCAATACTACTTGGTATCACCATACTTCAGCTGGTATAGTATTGTAACATAAATTAATGGTATCACAACACAACAACCCTATTTCTAACTAGTCCTCAGATGATTATTCAAATGGACAAAATATTCTGACTATTCTTGATCATGCAGTTCTTTGCTGATAATTTTGTTAAATGTACTTTTAATGCATTAAACGATTTAAAATTACCCTGACACTCAGTATGGAGACAAGGTAACGTTAATAGAACAATTCATGAATATGTTCTATGGCTTGTGCGGTATTGTTCAAAAAGTTTTCTTTGATGTGTAAGTGCAAAACTTACATTTCCACTGCATATCAGCTCACAAACTGGTAGTCTGAAATAAAAAATAAATAAAGGGTATAATGATATTACAAACCAAATATGCCACTCACAATACTCTAATGGTGTGCTACATTTTAAACAACCTTGTAATTGTTCAAATTTATTTGCCCTAAATTGTTAAAAATTAGTGAAACCTTCTTTAAAAGTGCAAACTAACAGGTTTGGCAAAGCCTGTTTCTTTACAGAAAGTTTGCTTATAACAAAGGCTTGTTGATGCCTTTGTGTGATATTGAGCAAACAAAGGGATGTTTCTGTGCTTGGTTGTACGAGTTATATTACTTCATCATTAACGTTATCCATCACACATATTCAGTCGCGTCTGGTCAGATTTATTTGTCATTACAGCAATACAAAACACTCAATAACGTAACGGCAACACTGGAATAAACCTTCAAAACGGCATAAAGAAAAGACAAATAGCATATAAAACATAATGAGTTAATTAAATATCTCTCGCATTTTCATAAGTTTAACTTTAAGTTTCATAGGGATTGTTAGCATAAGCACACTTTAGCATCATGTGTAAATATGTATCTGCCTCATACAGTGACACGAATCGTAATCGCATCGAAATCCTAAATTACCTACGACACTCACGGGTCCATTTTGAGCTGAAACTGCTTTATAATGTTCTAAAAGCCTCGGCGGGTTAAAACTGCTGCTGCCCCGGCGATCATGGAGAAAAAAACGACTGGTCTGGTCATGAGCCGCTCGCTGACGCCGGACCGAATCACAGCTGATCTCCTCACCTGCTTCCTGCAGGTGATCTCATAAAAGTAAATCTTAAAAAAAAAACACGCATATTTTCGTCACAACAAGCGCCACTAAAGTTCAGCGATAACTAACGTTACAGTATTTGTAATGCGGATAAATAGGTTTCGTTTTCTTTTTTAAAAATGTAGACCTACAGCTATGTGTTAACTTTACATCTATTTGAACTGATCATTGCGCGTGCTCTTGCTCTCTCAGTGCATCATTTAAAATGGCGCGGCCCGCTCTTTTAAAGCATAACGCCCACTTTACAAATTACTACTAACTTTACAAATTATTAATAGTTATTAAAAAGGACTAAGCAGCTAAAAATAGCTTATCTAGTAAAGTAGACAGTATTGCAAATAACGTGCAGTGGTCAAAACGTTTAGTCACAACATCATGGGCTATTAATTAGTTCACAAAACAGCAAACAATTTCACAAAGTGCAGGAAATAAACAGATTACTGATACTATACAAATAAAATCAAAGTAGTAATTAAAACGAAAAGTTTACCTTGATTTACAGCAGTACATCTTCTCAATATGAAATCCTGTCCTTCAATGGCGGTGCTGGGTGGCGGTTGGTTGTGACTCGGGATGGGGGATGGGAAATCACCACCCAGTACGCATGCGTAACAGCATGGCTTAGCCCTTATAAGCAATTTTACTCAAATTACATTAGTTATGGGAACTTTATACCTTACTATGTCAGCAACACTAATGAATTTCTAGTAAACTCAACAATTAGCTTAAAATTAAGTAAACACACTAGAATTTTGATAGTAAGGAATACTATTCGCATTTACAGTGTGGACATTCATCGTGGAGGAGCTGCAGGTATGAGTAGGTCACTGGCGGGTGTTAAGGCAGGGCCATGGGATCAATGCAGAGACTCGTCTGTCACTGGGGTCATAACCGCCACAGCATCTGCTCAGGATACGGCCTGGTCCAGGATTATGGATTCCTTTAGAAGTGTTCTGTGGTTGGCATCATCTCTTCACATGTCTTAAATCACATCAATGGCACTGAAATTAATGATCAATGGCGCTGCAAAACATAAAACTATTAAGTTGTCCCAAAACATCCTCTAATATTGAGTTTCAGCTTATTTTAAATAAGTAATTTGAACAAACACCAAACGTCTTTTTTGAGAATGGGGGCTATTTCAGAAGCATCATAATTTTTATACCCACAACTTTAGGGTCACTCACTCACTCACTCACTCACTCACTCACTCACTCACTCACTCACTCACTCACTCACTCACTCACTCACTCACTCACTCACAATAAATAACACATATTGATTATCATTTGTTGTCATGGTATAGTTATTATTAGACATTTTTATTGTTCTGCATCATATGAGATGTAATGTGTTGTTAATTTTTTTAATAGAATACATATATGTTAATTATTTTTAACCCTTTCATGCGTGAGTTTTAAATACTACAGCTGATCCGCCTGCTCAAGTTTTTTTGTGACCCCTGCTTAGAATTTATTGCATTCTAAAGTTTCCAAGGTGACGTAACAAGTTTATCATCTGACCCACCAGCCCAATTGATCTATGTATATATCGTGTTTTGTTTCCTTTTGCCACTTTCTGTAAATATTGACAAATGTTTTAATTATATTGTGACATTTCTGATACTTTGATTGTCAAATATGTGATAAAACGTAAATGATATTTGTATCATTTGTTATATGATGGGTAATGGGTGCCGCTGTTGTTGCTATAAGGAATACAGCTGCGATCAGAAGTTAAGAAGTGTTTATATTATTTATTAAATTACGCATTAATTGTATTTTACTAGCATTAACACCTACCTAAACCCAGCCCTCACGGTAATGTAAAAATATTATTTGTTGTACAGTGTCATAAAAAATTATGCTATATTGATGTATCCTCAGCTGTATACCATCTAGACTTCACCCTCTTCTGTAGGGCAGTAAAGTCTAGATGGGATACAGCTGAGGATACTCGCGTCGATATAGCACATTTTTGTGACACTGTACAACAACAAATAATAATAATATATAATAATAATAATAGTAATAATATATAAATATTATGAATACTTATTTAGAAATAATTTTAATAAATTACTTTTTAACTTCTGATCGCACCAATATCTCTTCTAGCAACAACCACTGGAGAGATCCGAGCTGCTGAATTTAAGTCATGTTTATTCATAATTTTCTGCCGAAATACATAGAGGTAAGCAACTATTTATCTGGGAGAGGAATAGAAAAAATATTCTATTAACATAAACAGTGTGTCTCTCACATGAATAAAGCACATAGTCCAGTTATATTGAAATATAGCTTATCTCTGTCTCCATAAACATCCATTTATATTTTACAAATCTTAAATGGTAGGTTTTGCTTGTAGTTATGTGTATTTGAATGGCTGAAACCTAAAATAAGTGTTATTTGTTTAAAGGCACAATTAAATTGTGATTTATGACAAGCTCTGTGCACCTCTTTCTGTTCCTCAGCGCTCGTCCTCAGATTTAAATTTTAGCAGTTGATGACGTGTGCTCTGAATGTTCTAATCACACTAGTGTGATCGTACGGGTGATAGGGTTAATAGCATACATGCATTTTATTGACTTATTTAAAAAATGTAATGCTGTTATTATGACACAATTTGTGTTATTTGGGTGAAGCTCATTCCAATTAATTTTACAATATCATATATATTACTGCTGCTCTTGTTTAAAAAAAAAAAGTCACCCTAAAAACAGTAACAATTTACAAGAATGGTTGATCAAGGATACAATTCCTTAAGAAAATGCATGCTGGAACGTGTTCTTTTCACACTGTAGTTCAGAACAACT